CTTTTAGTTGTATTTAATTTTATAATTTTATTGTGGTATTGTTGGACTAATTTTAATTTTAGTTTTACTTCATTTTATTATTTTATTTTATTTTTATTTATTTTCGCTTTTATTTTTTAGTCTTGATTCGGGTTTCGATGACTCATAATTCAAGTTGTGACACCTTGAATTTTTCATGCCGTGGAGAATATTAAATTATAAATAAAATAATTGTTAAATAATTAATTACAAGACTTTAGGACATAAACCCTAATGGAGGGAGTAGACTTGAAGCTAGAGGATGAGACTATGAATCCTCCCAAAGAGAGGTAGATATCCATGACAAAAACTTCATAACCAAAAAAACTACAAACAAGGGCCCTAGTTTGCTTCATATGCAAGGTGCCCTATTTAGAATCTGAATACCCACAAAGGGTGGCTCCACATGCTTTCCAAGCCAAAGCTTCAAAAATCCATGCAATGGGGACCTTGAAGTACTATTTGTTTTGCGAAAGAGAGTGGGAGAGACAAAAGAGCCAATAGAATGAGGCCTTATGTACATTGATGTCTTGGTTAACTATAGATCGACCAAGAGGAGAATGATCAATTCTAGAGTAATCCACAACTTCATGATAGAGACCAAAGAAAAACACTTGAACACTCTCTAGCATGAAGACACTGGAACGATGAAACTGTCAATTTTGTATTTTTGTAGCCTTATCTATCTCAAAAGTTGCAAAGAGAATTTCAATCAAGATGAATGATTTCAATGTCGTGTTAGGGATAGATATTTTTTCTTAAAGGCAAGGTCATTTCCGTGCCACAAACAAAATGCTTAGTGGTTATGAGGTCAAACCACACGATCATTCAGATCCATGCCTGATAACCAAAAGGGTGAAGATGATATTGATGTTATAATTGAGACTCAATCTTACCCATGATAAATCCACGTTCATCATCATTCCCATTATTAAAGAGGAGGCCTGAGTGAGTAAATTCAAATAGAAACCTTGTAGTCACTAAAGAAAAACATCACAACATAAGGCTTCCCTACCTAGAGTGATAGATCTAAAATTGATTTAGTATTAGAGATGAGATCGTCTATTACAAATATGTGTCGTATGTCTCAACTGGAGCTAGCTAAAATTCATAAATAGTTAAATGACTTGTTGAATGTCAAATTTGTTAGTGATCACTCGAATACTGGGGAGAAGTCCAAGCGAATACCTCCACCAAAAGGTGGAGACAAATCTCCAAAGGAACTAGTGTATAATTAGAAAAAAAAAAAAAAAAAACATCCAAACGAATGAAGAGAATAAGGAGTCGGAAACACAAGTTTCAAAAGGTTTGGAAGTGAAGACAAAGTTCTAATCATGCTGAGATCCGATCAACTTCGATTCCAAAGAATTAAGAATCAGTAGTTGATGCGAAAATACTATAGACCAGTCAAAGTCATGTAAAAGGTATGGAAGGCATCATGTAGGAACCGATTGCTCCCATGGATGAGGACTAGTTATGTTATCCACGTCATAAACTTGAAACATATCCCAATCAAGAAAACACCAATAACAATGCGGCAACACGACCTCCTACCATGATGAAAAATCTCATTACAAAGAAAGTAGAAGAGAGTTTGGTTGAATGATACGACACATTAACCGATCAAGAAAAGACTTATAAAATTTCTTATATCACAATGTTGAGATCGGTTGGAAACGCTTCGAGAGAGCTAAAGTCAGCCTCATTCTACATTGCTTAGTTCGTGAAGAGTTAGTTGATAAAGACGTCAACCAATTGATTGGAGGAGAATATCATAAGCATGCTTGTCAAAGGTCTGTTACCTGTAGTCGCATTCTGGATGTCACTGTCATGTTTGTCCAAGGCGTGTTGTCTGTGGTCTCATGCTCGTTCCAAACCCCTTTTACTTGTTTTCACAGAGTTAGGTCTTTATCATTTCTATTATGTCAATTCGAAGGTATATGACCGTTCACCAAAATCATGTTTATACCTACCAGGATCAAAATGCCTCAAAATGTACTATAGGGGGATGTGACAAGTTTTCAATTCTTTCTATCCAAGCTATATGTAAGTCCTAATAGTTGCTTAAGACGCCCAATCTTTCTATTCATAAGATATCTCTCTCTCAACCCTCACTTATTTTACATTTTCATCGATCTCTCTCTCCCTCCATCCCTCGATTTGCGGGCTCTACACCAATTAGATTTTAGTTCATTAATTTAAAAGGATCTAAGTCTAGTTTACAAACTTTCAACTACTTCTAGTGTGGTTTAATGATTTTTACAAAAATAAAAGTGATAAAAGGAAAGAACCTATCATAGTGATAATTGGGTTCAATTTAATCAAAGGAGAAAAGAGATGTCTATCATATTGATACAAATCTATCATTAAGCGAGCATTAAAAAAAAAAAAAGTCTAATAAATGATAAAAAAGAATTGTTGATAGATATAAAAACAACATATTATTTATAGACTTTAAGACTTCCAAAAATGTAACATTTGTAAATTATTTATTTGTGTGATGCATTTGTAAATTTATTGGATAGTTACAAATACGACAAACAATTCTGTCTCTCATTATTTGTGACATCTTTGCAAATAAAAAGTCACCAACATTCTATTACATCACTAACAATGACATGATAAAAAAGACTGAAAAATAAATAATAGCGTTTTGTCGATTATATCTCTTTATTATTTTTATTATAATATAGAATCCGTATCTAAACATATAAACACCTAAAAGTATAAGGAAATTTTATTATTATAGTAGGACGTTGAGAAGCCAATGAAACAGATAATGTTACATTGCATAATTCTTCAGGTGACCCAAACAATTAATTAAACATCCATAATCGGTTGGAAAAATTAGGGTTTTTTTTAGTTAAAATCTTCCTATCCCTTTTCAAGTTAAAACAAAAATCATATTGACAAATAAACTTTTTTTTTTATTTAATAATTTTAAAAATGAGAGATCAATCACTAAAATGACAATTAGTGTCTTATCTTATATAATAGATTTAAATTTAAAAATTAAATTTACATACATAACATGTCTAATTAAAAATGGTTAAACCATATAAAAACAATAATGGTTAAACATAACAATAATAAAATAGTACACGAGACACATAAGTTAAAACTAGAGTTAGAAGGGTAAGCATTAACCTATAAATATCACTTCACACCTCTTCTATTATCCTATCACTTGCTTCCTTTTTCTCTCTCTCATGCTTATCATGAACACTTGTATCATTAAGTTTTCTTTGTCTCTTCTTCTAATCTTACATGTTTTTCTTTCCCTTCTACTTTTGTTTTTTAACCATGCCTCAGCTGCTAAATTAACATTCAATATTGTTACTCTCGGAGCTAAGCCCGATGAAAAGACCGATGCCTCGCCTGTGCTTCAAATGGCATGAGCTAAGGCCTGTGACTCATCTGAACCAGCCACTATTTACGTTCCCGAGAGTATATTCTTCTTCCGTTCGAAGTGTGAGATTTAACGGGCCTAAGAACAATGCTATTACTGTTCTCATTGATGGAACTCTTGTGGCTTCCTCAGACATTCAAGTTTTAGCTAATTCTAGTTCTTGTATTTTGTTTAATCACATAAATGGGCTTTCCATTACTGGTGGTATTATTGATGGGCAAGGAACTCTCTTGTGGAATTGTAAACACTCAGGGAAGAATTACCCCATTGGAGCTCGGGTATGCCGAATTTGAGTTGGCTCCATATAAAAAAAATTTGAAATTTTTTCTTCAACTCAAAGTTGAATGAAATGACCAGATTAATTACAATATTATTTTAAATTTTTACTAATTCTGGCTTTTGATTGTTTTGAATTGATAGGGTCTTCAAATAAATGATGGAAAGGACATGAAGATCAATGGATTATCTTCAATTAACAGCCAATTGTTCAGCATTGTAATGAATCGGTGCCAAAACGTGCATATGACAAGAGTGAATGTCTTGGCTGCAAGCGATAGTCCAAACACTGATTGCATCCATATGCAACAATCATCAGATGTGATTATCCTCAACTCGAACATTGGAAACGGTGACAATTGCATCTCCATTGGTCCAGGGACATCCAACATGTAGATCGAAAGAATTACATGTCGACCTAGACATGGAATCAGGTAACTAGAGATAGATTAGGATGAACATGTTTAGAAATGTTTTTTAAAGGGTTTAAATAAATTTGTCACATTAATATTGAGAAGATAATCTAAACGTTAAATTAAATTTGAATGGTTAAAATATATTCTAAAGTTATTTTGAACGTGAGAAAAATGATTTAAATTATTTTAAAATTATTTTGGATAAAAATAGTTATATCATATATTAGGTTNAGATGAATGATTTCAATGTCGTGTTAGGGATAGATATTTTTTCTTAAAGGCAAGGTCATTTCCGTGCCACAAACAAAATGCTTAGTGGTTATGAGGTCAAACCACACGATCATTCAGATCCATGCCTGATAACCAAAAGGGTGAAGATGATATTGATGTTATAATTGAGACTCAATCTTACCCATGATAAATCCACGTTCATCATCATTCCCATTATTAAAGAGGAGGCCTGAGTGAGTAAATTCAAATAGAAACCTTGTAGTCACTAAAGAAAAACATCACAACATAAGGCTTCCCTACCTAGAGTGATAGATCTAAAATTGATTTAGTATTAGAGATGAGATCGTCTATTACAAATATGTGTCGTATGTCTCAACTGGAGCTAGCTAAAATTCATAAATAGTTAAATGACTTGTTGAATGTCAAATTTGTTAGTGATCACTCGAATACTGGGGAGAAGTCCAAGCGAATACCTCCACCAAAAGGTGGAGACAAATCTCCAAAGGAACTAGTGTATAATAAAAAAAAAAAAAAAAAAAAACATCCAAACGAATGAAGAGAATAAGGAGTCGGAAACACAAGTTTCAAAAGGTTTGGAAGTGAAGACAAAGTTCTAATCATGCTGAGATCCGATCAACTTCGATTCCAAAGAATTAAGAATCAGTAGTTGATGCGAAAATACTATAGACCAGTCAAAGTCATGTAAAAGGTATGGAAGGCATCATGTAGGAACCGATTGCTCCCATGGATGAGGACTAGTTATGTTATCCACGTCATAAACTTGAAACATATCCCAATCAAGAAAACACCAATAACAATGCGGCAACACGACCTCCTACCATGATGAAAAATCTCATTACAAAGAAAGTAGAAGAGAGTTTGGTTGAATGATACGACACATTAACCGATCAAGAAAAGACTTATAAAATTTCTTATATCACAATGTTGAGATCGGTTGGAAACGCTTCGAGAGAGCTAAAGTCAGCCTCATTCTACATTGCTTAGTTCGTGAAGAGTTAGTTGATAAAGACGTCAACCAATTGATTGGAGGAGAATATCATAAGCATGCTTGTCAAAGGTCTGTTACCTGTAGTCGCATTCTGGATGTCACTGTCATGTTTGTCCAAGGCGTGTTGTCTGTGGTCTCATGCTCGTTCCAAACCCCTTTTACTTGTTTTCACAGAGTTAGGTCTTTATCATTTCTATTATGTCAATTCGAAGGTATATGACCGTTCACCAAAATCATGTTTATACCTACCAGGATCAAAATGCCTCAAAATGTACTATAGGGGGATGTGACAAGTTTTCAATTCTTTCTATCCAAGCTATATGTAAGTCCTAATAGTTGCTTAAGACGCCCAATCTTTCTATTCATAAGATATCTCTCTCTCAACCCTCACTTATTTTACATTTTCATCGATCTCTCTCTCCCTCCATCCCTCGATTTGCGGGCTCTACACCAATTAGATTTTAGTTCATTAATTTAAAAGGATCTAAGTCTAGTTTACAAACTTTCAACTACTTCTAGTGTGGTTTAATGATTTTTACAAAAATAAAAGTGATAAAAGGAAAGAACCTATCATAGTGATAATTGGGTTCAATTTAATCAAAGGAGAAAAGAGATGTCTATCATATTGATACAAATCTATCATTAAGCGAGCATTAAAAAAAAAAAAAGTCTAATAAATGATAAAAAAGAATTGTTGATAGATATAAAAACAACATATTATTTATAGACTTTAAGACTTCCAAAAATGTAACATTTGTAAATTATTTATTTGTGTGATGCATTTGTAAATTTATTGGATAGTTACAAATACGACAAACAATTCTGTCTCTCATTATTTGTGACATCTTTGCAAATAAAAAGTCACCAACATTCTATTACATCACTAACAATGACATGATAAAAAAGACTGAAAAATAAATAATAGCGTTTTGTCGATTATATCTCTTTATTATTTTTATTATAATATAGAATCCGTATCTAAACATATAAACACCTAAAAGTATAAGGAAATTTTATTATTATAGTAGGACGTTGAGAAGCCAATGAAACAGATAATGTTACATTGCATAATTCTTCAGGTGACCCAAACAATTAATTAAACATCCATAATCGGTTGGAAAAATTAGGGTTTTTTTTAGTTAAAATCTTCCTATCCCTTTTCAAGTTAAAACAAAAATCATATTGACAAATAAACTTTTTTTTTTATTTAATAATTTTAAAAATGAGAGATCAATCACTAAAATGACAATTAGTGTCTTATCTTATATAATAGATTTAAATTTAAAAATTAAATTTACATACATAACATGTCTAATTAAAAATGGTTAAACCATATAAAAACAATAATGGTTAAACATAACAATAATAAAATAGTACACGAGACACATAAGTTAAAACTAGAGTTAGAAGGGTAAGCATTAACCTATAAATATCACTTCACACCTCTTCTATTATCCTATCACTTGCTTCCTTTTTCTCTCTCTCATGCTTATCATGAACACTTGTATCATTAAGTTTTCTTTGTCTCTTCTTCTAATCTTACATGTTTTTCTTTCCCTTCTACTTTTGTTTTTTAACCATGCCTCAGCTGCTAAATTAACATTCAATATTGTTACTCTCGGAGCTAAGCCCGATGAAAAGACCGATGCCTCGCCTGTGCTTCAAATGGCATGAGCTAAGGCCTGTGACTCATCTGAACCAGCCACTATTTACGTTCCCGAGAGTATATTCTTCTTCCGTTCGAAGTGTGAGATTTAACGGGCCTAAGAACAATGCTATTACTGTTCTCATTGATGGAACTCTTGTGGCTTCCTCAGACATTCAAGTTTTAGCTAATTCTAGTTCTTGTATTTTGTTTAATCACATAAATGGGCTTTCCATTACTGGTGGTATTATTGATGGGCAAGGAACTCTCTTGTGGAATTGTAAACACTCAGGGAAGAATTACCCCATTGGAGCTCGGGTATGCCGAATTTGAGTTGGCTCCATATAAAAAAAATTTGAAATTTTTTCTTCAACTCAAAGTTGAATGAAATGACCAGATTAATTACAATATTATTTTAAATTTTTACTAATTCTGGCTTTTGATTGTTTTGAATTGATAGGGTCTTCAAATAAATGATGGAAAGGACATGAAGATCAATGGATTATCTTCAATTAACAGCCAATTGTTCAGCATTGTAATGAATCGGTGCCAAAACGTGCATATGACAAGAGTGAATGTCTTGGCTGCAAGCGATAGTCCAAACACTGATTGCATCCATATGCAACAATCATCAGATGTGATTATCCTCAACTCGAACATTGGAAACGGTGACAATTGCATCTCCATTGGTCCAGGGACATCCAACATGTAGATCGAAAGAATTACATGTCGACCTAGACATGGAATCAGGTAACTAGAGATAGATTAGGATGAACATGTTTAGAAATGTTTTTTAAAGGGTTTAAATAAATTTGTCACATTAATATTGAGAAGATAATCTAAACGTTAAATTAAATTTGAATGGTTAAAATATATTCTAAAGTTATTTTGAACGTGAGAAAAATGATTTAAATTATTTTAAAATTATTTTGGATAAAAATAGTTATATCATATATTAGGTTAGAGTGAGGAAATTAAAGGTTAGAAAACATTTGATATTTTGTTGAATGTGTTTGTAGCATTGGGAGCTTAGGGATAGAGTCTGAAGAGGATGGAGTGCATAACATTACAGTGAAATCATTTACATTCACGGGGATTCAGAATAGAGTAAGGATTAAGTCTTGGGGAAGACCAAGCAATGGATTCGCTACAAACGTTTATTATGGATAATGTGAAAAACTCAATCATAATTGATCAAAATTATTGTCCACATATCAAAGATGGATGTATATTTCTTCATTAATCTCATACATTGTTAATTTTTTTCTAATTATATTTAAACTTAAATTGGATGAATAGAATTTAAATTTTAAATTTTATAAATAATTGATTTATGTTATCTTTAATTGTTTGAAATTTGTTTGTGTTTAAGATGGGCGCTAAATTATTATTATTAGTATTATTTTTTGGTACTTTAAATTACTTTTATAGGTAATAAATTAGGGACGCTATTACTTTCGATGTCTTAAAGTGGTATGAAGCTTGTATGATTTTATTTTTTAATTTATCAAAAATATTTAGTGGTATGAAGCTTGTATGATTTTATTTTTTAATTTATCAAAAATATCTAATATCATTGGAGATAATTTCTCTAACTTATATATACTATCTAAAAAATCTAAGACTATGCTCGATTTATATCTTATTTGTTGTATATATTTATATCTTATTATGAATTCCTAATTTATATTTGGTTTTATAATATAGTTTAATAATATAACTTAGGGTTTCATGGAATTAAAAATTTTAGGTGAGAATAACTTAGTAAAACAAGTTTACATGGTAAATTTTTTTATAAATGTCCTTGTTTATCCGTTTTCATAGCATATTTTGATTGTTTTCTTTATTTTAATAGGATTCTGGAGTTAAAGTTAGTGAAGTAACATACGAAGACATCAAGGGAACTTCAGCCACTGAAATAGCAATTAATTTTGATTGTAGTCCAACAAATCTTTGCACTGGATTAAACTTGATAGACATAAAGCTAACTTCTGAGAACCTCATCGCTAAAGCTTCATGTAAAAATGCTGAAGGAACTACCTCTGGTGTGGTTGAACCTTCTAGTTGATTAGCATCGGCAAACTTTTATCCATATACTATAGACCCTTTAGGTTATTCTTAAACATGACCCTCTTGTATGTCAATCACATATGGGATAATATTAAATTTTAAATAAAATAATCAAAGTTATTATTAAAATTAAACAATTAATTACGAGGTTTAAGGCATAAATCTTAACACTCTCGACCACCTAGATATTCTGACATTTTCTCCACTGTTTATGTTACCCTAGTTTATCTGAGTGCTCAAGATCATAGATTGTAGCATCATGGTATCCACTTCTTCCAACACTTGTTCTTAGCATGCCTTTCCTTATAAGGAATTTGATCAGGGTCAGTCTCAGTCAAGGCTCTACCTGCTCTACCATCTCGTATATAGTACCACTTCAGGTTTTAGGGTCCATAATCTATCATCATGCAATAGACTCCAAGTTATTAGGTATTGTAACCAATTGTATCCTAATTAGTTCAAAAGACAGTAACTGACATATGCATATAATTCACATAAGGAGTGAGATCATGCCTACTAACCTTACAACTTACATACCTTGTCAAGGCGAGTGAGCTTAAGTCAAGCTGCAGGCTGTCACGGTCATGCTTGTCCAAGGCGTGTTGCCTACGGTCGCATGTCAAATGTCCCAATCAAGCTTGTTCATGACGTGTTGTCCATAGCCGCATGCCAGTTCTAAACCCCTTTACTTACTTTCAAGTTAGATAGACATTTACTATTATTGTTGTGTTAGTACAGGGGTGTATGACCTGTCAACAAAATCATGTTTACACGCGTCAAAGCTAAAATGCCTCAAAATGTATTATAAGGTATGTGACTAGTCATCCATTCTTTCTATTCAGGTTATATGCTATTAAAGTTGGGGTTGTTGCTTAATTTCTTTTAGCCTATACTATTGCTTTCTTACAAAAAAAAAAAAAATAATAATAATAATAATGCATTTCCTTCCTCACGATTTCTAAAACATTTTCTTCCAAACATGGCCAAGGCTCGATCAAACGTCCTAATTGTATGACTTATGATTTTCATACTAATGACTTGTTCACTGGATTAGAATAAGTAGCGCATAATCACTATTCCGCTACCACAATAGTGCGATTGTGATAAGTAGTATCAAAGCCAAGTTGGCTCCTTGAATCGTAGGACACAAACATGTCTACTGCAAAAAAACTCGACAAGTCCCAAACTAATCAATTGGTAGAGATAAAAAATTAGTTACTCTACCTAAGTGAAGTTCCTGATGAATTGGACTTTTAAAATCTCGCATGAATTTTATTTTTGCTAAAGCCCATAGGATCAACAAGCTGGCTGGTCGCCTTGAGAAACTAATGTTCATGTATTAATGGTTAGGGTAAAGGCCCCAAAAGACAATGCCATAACTGCTAGTGGCTCAAGCGTGGGGATAGCTCGACACGCTCTGTTGCTTGGATAGAAGAACATATCGAGGACTTAGACAATACTCAACAAGCCATCGTTGAGATTGTCTAAAAAATATTTAAAATTTTGAGAGAATCTTTTGGAGTGGTTAGGGATGAAGTGACAGATTTGAGTGCTAGACATGTCCTCACCCTGAGAGAATTGTTTCAAAAATATTTTTTTACGTATTTCTTATTATTCTTGAAGAATAATTGTATCTTGCATTCTGTAGTTTATGAATCCATGGTAGTAAAAGACATGAGATATTCTAGCAAGTAATAGTCTTAATAAATTCTTTTGAGGGTTCTAGAAGAGTCTCGAGTCTTGAGATGTTTCCTTTAAGTGTTTCTTGGGTCCTAACTTGGTTTACGTTCCAAACTTACTCTAATCAACTTAAAATTTTGAACATACCTTTATGTGTTTTCCAAACTTACTCCAATCAACTTAAAATTTTGAACATACCTTCATGCTTTTAGGATTAGGTCTTGTAAGTAGTAGCAAGTGATTTGGAGCATGTCTAAATCTTAAAATATAATAAGGAGTCTTAGGGGAATTTTGGTCATTTTACCCATAATTTTTAGCTTAGCTACTTAATGTATTCCAATGACTTTCAAATGTCACAACATCATAAAAAAGCATAAAATAAAAGGTCTAGTACAAAGTTTCATAGCATTTAGACGTTATCTAGATCATGAATCAAAGGTAGATTACCATAGGGGCATTATGATCATTTTACACCGTTACTTGGTTTAACTACTTATTCTTATCCAATAACCTCCAAATTTTATCTTAACAAACCATCATATGCTCAGTATTAAAAATTCATAGGTAGCAAAGTTCAGTTATTTTAATGTTACTTACATTCCAAGCAATTTGATCGGTGTAAGGCCTTAACTCTCGGTTTTTGTATTTTTCTTTCATATTTGGTTTAAGTTTTATACTGAGATCCAAGCAATTCCTACAAGTATTTTTGAAGAAAAGTCTAACATGGCTACTTACCTCGTCATTGACGTTTGGGACCTCCGTTCTCGAGCTTCCCGTATTCGAATCACCTCAAATTTTCTTTCACAAATTCCTTATTGTGCCTGGATTTTGGAACCATAAACTATTTCATGAGAACAAATTAAGAAAGATCGAAGGAAGGTCATGGTTTGGTCTTTGAACCAGCCACATCATTGTCTTCTTCCTCTAGACAAGAAGAAGATGTGTGTGACCAACCTCGTCATTGCTTGTTTCTTCGCTTCCCCAGCTTCATTCACAACGTTTCTTTCCTTCATTTCTTTATGAAACTTAAAGAGGGCATCACAAGGTCGAACCATATGAGGAAATAATGTGTATAGACCTTAAAATAAGATAAAAGATGGGCAAGAAATAGTAGCGGGACGAAGCATAAGCATAGCCTTGAAAGTAGTATGTGTGACGGACTTCGACATCATATTAGGAATGGATTGGTTAGCCAAAAACTATACCATTGTAGATTACCACAAGAAGGAAGTGGTATTTTTGCCACCAACCAGACCCAACTTTAAGTTTAAAGTCACTTTTACGGGAGTCACCCCAAAGATAGTGTCAATGATTAAAGCTAAATGCCTAGTACAATAAGAAGGGTGAGCTCTAGCTTGTGCAGTAGACGTAAAATGAAAAGAAAAGACGATAGATACGGTACCAATAGTAAATGAATTTCTAGATTTCTTTCTAGAGGATTTACTAGGAGTTCCTCCTTTATGAGCCGTAGACTTGGGAATTGAACTCGAACTAGGAACTTTTCCTATCTCTAAAGCATCGTATCGCATGGCCCAACAAAATTAAAGGAACTTAAAGTACAACTACAAGATCTACTAGATATGGATTTCATCCGGCCTAGCGTATCTCCTTGGGGTGCATTAGTGTTGTTTGTGAAAAAGAAATATGGCTCAATGCGCCTATGTATTGACTATAGGGAGTTAAACAAGAGAACAATAAAGAACAAGTACCCACAACCTTTCATCGAGGATTTATTCGACCAGCTCTGAGAGGCGACGGGTATTTTCCAAGATAGACCTTTGATTAGGCTATCACTAGATTAAGATCAAGGAAGGGAATGTACTGAAGACAACCTTTCGAAAAAGATATGGCCATTACAAGTTCGTAGAGATGTCATTTGGCCTCACCAACGCCCAAGTTGTGTTCATGGAGTTAATGAAGTGGGTATTCAATGAATGTCTGGACACGTTTTCCATCATGTTTATAGATGAGATCATGGTATACTCGAGGACTGATAAAGAACACCTCCAAAAAGTCTGAACTATCTTGATGGGAAACAAGTTGTATGCTAAGTTCTCCAAATGTGAATTTTTGCTACAACAAGTCTCATTCTTAGGATAGGTGGTGTCCAAAGACGAGATTTCAGTGGACCCCAATAAGATAGAAGACATCATAAAGTGGGAACGTTTAAATACGGTTATAAAGGTATGATGTTTCCTGGGGCTAGCAGGCTACTATCGAAGGTTTGTACAAGACTTAGCTAGAATAGCCTTACCTCTTACACAGTTGACAAGGAAGGGCATACCTTTTGTATGGAATGACGCATGTGAGGCCAGCTTCCAAGACCTAAACTAGTGTAAGCTCTAGTGCTCACGGTGCCGGAAAGCTCATAGGGATATCTAATCTACAGTGATGCATCCAAGAAGGGATTAGGGTGCATATTGATGCAACACAGTAAGGTTCTTGCCTATGCGTCAAGTTAAATTCAAAGAATATGAAAAAAAATAAAAAAAAACTATCCTACGCATGACCTAGAATTGAACGCTGTGGTGTTCACATTAAAGATTTGGCGACACGACCTATATGGGTGTAACGATACACATTCCAAGGAAAAAAGGGGGGGGAGGGGGGCACGCCGAAAATCTCGCGATTTTCAGCAGGATTCACTCAGAACCCCTTAAACCCTAGGATCGCAGTGGTCGCCTCCTTTAGGTAGGAGCGGACGCCAGTGTACGTCGGGGCAAGGAGAGACAGACGTGCCACCGGATATGGACGAACGATGACGCTTCCACCGACGACAGTAGCCAAGCCCCGCAGTTAGGACTGTCGAGGTTTTCAGGCGAGGAAGACGAAGCGACGGCACGGGATGACCCTTGACATTCTGCAAGTTTGTCTCGGCTAGCGTGCAGCCCGCACCTCGCAGGCCGTGCTCGGACACCACCACTGGGCCTCGTTCCCTTTCGGCCTAAACTAGAGGTGCACCCAGAAACCCGATGGCAACAGTGTTCTTCGCAGCCCGTTGGTTTCAGCTCCATCGGCGACTCCGTGCACTCTCGGTTTGGCTAGGTTCGGCTTGGTAGTGCGGCTCGGTGGCGCGGCTCGACATCCAAATAGTATACTGATTTCTAGGTTTTCGACCCTTCTGGAGCCATTCTCACCCTTGTTTCAACCATCTGAGGTTAGTATAACTCCATTTTGATAAAACAGCTTGTGATAGGGATGTACCTTGGTAGCTAAGCATAAGAGCTAGTTGTGAAAGGGCTCTAAGTGTATCATGTTATCTTATAGGAGGTAGTTAGGCGTTGGAGTTAGCGTTGTGGGTGACTTCGGCCAAGGCCA